CAAAACAGGAAGTAGGTAAGCATAACCCTAGTCTGTTTCTTCCTCTTTTTTCATACTGGTAATGCATTTCACTTGGAATTAAATAAGCCCCCTCTCTCATAAGCCCCACTCAAGAGTACTTAACATAAATAAGCCTGGGTGGGGGGCTTAATAGAAGATTTACATTAAAAATTATAATTATAGCCATAATGATAAAAGTAGTAATATAATAATAACAATAATAATAATAATAATAATAACAAAAATCCAAACCAATGACAACATTGATAAGAATGATGATGATTTTAATAATCTTGTCAAGAAGATCACTGTGTCTGTGGGGTTACAACTGCTAGTGAGTGGCCTGTTCTCTCTTAACACCCCCATGAAACAGTCACTTCCATAGCCAGCAGCAGAGTGCCATCCAAACGTCAGGTGAGTTTTCCTTTCCAACCATGACCAGACCGTTACCATTCCCAGGCCTAAGTGTAACAGGATGGTTGTTGATGAAGTATGGTCTTCCATTAGGACATCCAATTGTCAAATAAGAATGGATCACTGGTGAAGATTGCAGCAAAGTCCCCACACCCGAGTTCACAGAGTTTCGAGGGCAACTTCAGTCTTCCTTCAACAGAAAAAACCCATCTGCAAATGGCAATTCTTCTGAGAAGTCATAGAAGGCCTCTATGATCTTTTTCCACAGGGGTGTTATATCCTTCCACAGGATGGTACATTTTACTGAGGTCGCGATAGGCATTTATTTCTCTATATAAGACCCATATTATTGCTTGTGTAGTCTCAGCTACTTTTGTTAAAACATATCTTCTGTTCTAATTTCTGTCAGGATTGTATCCACTATCTTTACTGACAGAAAAGCACATGCATTGGTACCATCATTGCTTAGATCGGATCTCGATTGCACAGCCTCTTCATGACCAGGGGCCTGTTTCTCAAAAGCCCTGGTAACTTTTTGGTCTGCAAAGCCATTTTTAGTTTATCTGTATCTAAAAACAGAGAGGTGTATATGCCTGAAACTTCTTGTCTAAAGAGAACCTCTGCTCATATTGTGCTAGATAAAGTTTGCCTATTGTAGTTTAAAATTCCAGCATTATCTTTGCGGTAGGAAATTATGCTATGCTAGGTATGTATACAGTTACTAATGCGTGTTCCACAGATAGTGAGTGTCAGTTTCATTTAGCAAGCATTTGCGAAACAATAGCGTGGTAAATTTTAGCTTGAAGAATGTCAAAATTTGACTTTTCTCCATGGTGCAATGCGAACAGAATATCATCAAAAACAGCTGACATTTTAAAAGATCAGGACCTCCATGTAGAGGAAGCCTTAAAGCTGCTCACACAGGATGACATGGCCGAGCTTGGCCTCACAAAGGTGATCGGGCCAAGAGCACCAGATTTGCCCCGGAAACTAGCGGACACTAAAGCCATCACAACAACCAGCCTTGCAAAAGACCAAGGTCTTGATCAGATTCTGACAAAATTGGACGATGGTGGAGGGCTAGATGCAATAAGCTGTGGTGGCCTTGATGATTTAAAACAAAGCCTCCATTCAGCCACTCCAGTAGCAAACCAGCCGCAGGGAGACACGACTAGAATGGATTTAAACCAGCATGTATACCTCGGGAAACCTACTACACCAGGTAAACTGGATGAGAAGCCCCTGCTTGTTCCTGATTTTGTTATGCTTATTCCGGATCCAGCAAACCAGAAGAACAGGAGATAGGTGCAGGTGGCAAAGCTCAGGGGATTGTAAGAGCATTTAAGCAAAAAACACTGGCCCTTGAAAGCATCACCCTCTACCAATGGATGGGGGCAAGCCTAAAAATCCTCAATTCGCTTCTCTTGCACAACAACTTGGATACAAAATCAATCCAGGACTACCTTGCCTACGTCGTCAAGGTCTCCAAGCTGATTGAAGAACATACTTGGCAGTCCGTCATTCTATATATGACAATGAGTATCAGAAACTCCAGCACTGCTATGGGTTTTGCTCCACACGCGATTGTTCATCTGCAGGGACAATGCTAACTCTTTTACTAAACTGAACTTTGCAGCGTGTGCTGTCTATGGTGGGTGGACATTCTTGCGGCAAATTATTGATGCACTTAACACGTTAACATGACCTTATCACAGGAAACAAATGATACAAACTATGTGGATCGACCTTGTGGTGGACAGATTTCATGGAGATCTTCAATGGCAAAACCTTCTTTGCCTCCACTGAGCCCACGTTAACTGCCAAATTTTCCACTGATGCCAGTCTTGTTGGTGGTGTTGGCCATTACCAGCAAGATTGGTTCTATGTTAACTGGAAATGTGACTTTCTGCTTTTGCAAAGCTGTCATATTAATGAACTAGAACTATTTACTGTCCTGTTAGCCCTCAGGCGATGGGGCCCACAACTTTCATATAAATGGATCGTTATCTACCCCGACAATACAGTCAATCTTGGCTTAACAAAGGAACTAGTATATCAGAGAGGACAA